TGGTGACGTACCCAAATCAGCAAAACTTTGTCGCATCGCTGACTTCTTCTGTGAATGGTATTTCGCGAGTTCGCATCGCACGCATCCATCGCAGATCGCGTCGCATCGCGTGTCGCATCGCAAAAAAGCTTCTGTGAATCCCGCTTTAGCTGTTGACCTTGCACTTGTGTTGATTTTGCACTTGTGTTTATTTTGCCCGTACAAGAGGCAATGAAAAAAAAAACCTGAACCACAATCATGTCTGGCAGGACTTTCCTACCCTTTTCTGAGTGCAATAAAAAAAAAATTTCGGCGCGTTTCCGTACGCAAGGCGCCCCAAAAGCCAGCAAAAATACGCACAAACGCATGGTTTCACGCGTACAAGCGCCAGTTAGCTGTTGACCTTGCACTTGTGTTGATTTTGCACTTGTGTTTATTTTGCCCGTACAAGAGGCTTGGCAATGAAAAAAAAAACTTGAACCACAATCATGTCTGGCAGGACTTTACGGCTGAACCAAGGCCTCGTGCGTACGGCCGCGGTGTAGGCCTCGGCGCAACGCGCCTTTTTTTTTTTATTTATTTTTTTTTTTTTATTGAACTCAAACCATGCCTCTTGTACGGGCAAAACATAAAATAAAGACAATCAATGATTAGATCGAGCGCACGCGGTGATGATCATGTACAATGTCATTAATGACACTTGACAGATAATAATGTAAGCCTCAAGCTGAGATTCTTGCTTCAGCAACAACAAGCGCTGCCGAGTCTGAGGCCATTGCTGGTAAGAATGCCTTGCGTGCACCACGCAAGCACATCAGCGCTGAACGGACCAGTGCAAAGCCAATCTGGCAGCGGATGGCAGCTAGGGTGATGCTGTATGGCTCCCCAGTCTTGGCAGCGAGGAGAGAGGCGATGCGTTTGTAGAGCGAAGCACCATGCTTTCCCATGCCTCCGGTGGTAGAGAAGATGGCGGGGACAAAGCTGGAATGCTCCACCTCCCTCAGGCGCTGCTCATACGCACGACGCTTAGCCTTTTCATGACGGACATAGGTAGCAGCAAGTGAGTTGGAACGGTTCGAAGACGCATGGGGGTTGAATACCCGTACATCAATGTAGGTGCGTTCGAACCGTCCTCCCCAAATGCCACTAGCCACGACGTCTAGGCGTGCCTGGTCGTCAGCAATAGCAGTGCGATAACGGAGTTGCTCTCCGGAGAGTGGCTGGAGGTGTGGCTCAACTGCCACCTGATGGGCAACCCGCCTGAGCAGACGAGCAGTGAGGTCCCTCACCTCGTTGTGACGAATGGACGGAAATCCACCCGTCGGACACGAGAGGGAGTGAGACACAGTGAACTGCTGCCCACACGCACACAGTGATGGTAGCCGGACCGGCAGCCAGTTGAAGCGAAGGCAAACAGCATCCCGAAACTCCGACTTCGTCAGGGTGAAGCCATGGCGTTGAAGGGGTCGGCACGTGAGCCAGCTTGAGGCACCCGGTTCCGAAGCCAGAGCGATCACTCGCTGCAGCTCTGAACTGGCGGAGGAAGAGAAGGCCTGGGCTGCTGCGCGAATTGACTCCCCGGCTGTCGCCATCACGCGCTTCTTGGCAGCGCGAACATCATGGATGGCAGTGCCAAGAACTGGATCTTGGGCGAGAACACGGCAGGTGAGGGAGGCAGTGATGTCAAGGGAGGACTGGTGCTGTTCGGCCCGGGACGACGGATGAGGTATGCCAAGGCCTCCAAAGCGACATGGCAATGCTATCAGGGTGCGCTCCTCAGCATTGACGGGGCGACCTAGGAGAGCAGGAATGAAGGTGTTGGTGATAGCAGCATCAAGCGGAGCTAGGTGCTCAGCCATACCAGGTTGTGCCCTACAGAGAAAAGTCCATTTGCTCTGCAGGCCGTACACATACGCTGAGTAGGCTGCTTGCGGCTCAGTGATAGCATACTGGCTAAGGCGGTGAACTTGTGTGCTCCACTCCTCAACCTTCTGCTGCAGGTAGCTGGTGACAAAGGCTGGCGTGCCGATTGCAGCGCCGAGGTATCTTGCACCATCGGGTTGGATGGTGACACCTGTGCCGTCGAAAATACGGACAGCCTCATCGAGGAACTGAGGTTTCACAACCAGGATGGATTTGGACGGGTTGGGAAAGTATCCGTACTGGGGGCCCTTTCCGACTAGCCGATCCCACCACTTGCGCACCCGCAGCAGCTTGCCACCCGACCCAGCGTCGTCAGCATACCAGGACTGTACCGCACCTTCAGTTGCCACAGACTTCATCAGCGGGGCGATGCCAATAGCGTACATGGCCATTGCCACAGGGTCGCCTTGAGTTGTACCTTCCTCCGATAGGATCGTTTCACCACCAACAAATAGTTTTGCGGGCCGACGGTATGTGTTGACAACCAGATGGGCGAGAGACGGACACGTGTGCTGCACATTCCTAAGGCAAACTTCGCGGTTCAGGCAATTGAACGCATTGGATGCGTCGGCAAGCAAAAGACACTCTGTGGACGGATCATCAAACACACTCCCCATCGCATGGATGGCAGCTTCGATACCTCCGTCCTGGCCTGCACATAACTGAAGGCTTCCTGCAGCCTCCATGATTTCAGGGCGGATGACAGAGAGGATGGCCTTGCCCAGGATTCGGCGGAGAACCTCCCCAATGCCGATCGGTCTGACACCTGGGCTCTTGTCCAGAGGAATTAATCTGCAGGACGTGTAAGCTTCTAGTGCGGTAGGATCGACATACGTAGTTGCGAGGCGGCGCGCACATTGAGCCATAGCATCGCATAGCTGGTCAGATGCATCGGAGAAGCCGGTGCACATATGGCGCCACGTGTCCGCGTTCACTCCCGATGGGCAAGCACCTCCCTGCGTGTGTAGTGCGGCACGTCGGATGGAGGCTCTATTAAGAGCTTCGAACTGCACAGGATGAGGTGGTATGGGCGCTTGCCCGGGAATCAGTGCATCTGGGTTTGCTGGCTGGCCGATAGGGTGCTTGCTCTTGAGCACGTCACGAACAGTGCTGTCACCCACTCTGTCGTCCAGTTCCAATACACCGCCACGACCACCCTCCTGCAACATGTGGATGGCGGAGGTTAACTTTCCACCCGTCACAAGGTTGGCAAAGTGACGAGCGTCTGTGGACTGAGCAGTTGTGGATGACTGACGTTGAAGAAGCTGTTGGATCGTGCGACATTCATGGCGTAGTTGATCTATCTCGCCGTTATTCCACTGGTGCAAGCGGGTTTGGAGACACTTTGCGAGTGACTGTGATGGTGGTCTTGTTTTCTGAAGGAGTAGTTGCTGGAACACCATGGCAATTCTGAGGGCTTGACCCTCAAAGGGTCCTGAATCTCCAAAGCCCTGCAGATAGACACTCAGTTGTGCTACAAATGCCTTTCCAGAAGATCCATGTGGCACATTGAAGGTATTTGGCCTGAAATGTACTGCCTCCTCATATGCGGCATTGATGGTGGCTGCCGTAGTTTGGCTGTCCATAGTTCCCAGGGTGAATGCACCAGTCGCTGCAGGCGAATGGTGTGGCAGCGTATTGTTGTCCTGCCTGTTTGCGTCTTGATGGAGGGTCTCGTCCAAGGGCAAGGTTGCATGAATCTGTGTTGCTTGACTACTATCTAGACCTGCAAGCAGATGTGCGGCTTCCGCGAGAGAGTCTTCTGGATCGGCTCTAGCACTGTCCAGTAATACTTGCCCCGTTTCTGCCGAATCCGTACCTGGTTCATCCGCATCGAGTCGAAGCTGGCTCGTGCCGCCGGCCGGTGTTCTAGCCGCCTGCTCCGCTCGGCCGCCCGCAAAACTAGAACTAGAACTACTACTACTACTACCCACATGGGCAGCACCCGGGTCGCGACACTCTGCAGCTTGGGCATGTGTGTGGATTTCGCGTGGGTCAGTGTCATGCTGTTGGTCTAATATGTCCCACGCCTGCTGTTGAGAATTTGAAACAGTCTCTTGTCGGCACTCCGCAAGCAGAGCAGACGTGAGTGACTCTGGGGTCTCAGCTGTGGTAGTCGGCCTCATTGTCATGTCACGCTGTGTAGGTCTGACATCGTCAGCATGCTTGCAAGTTGACACTTCTGAACTGGTGCTTGACTCCGCAGACTCCGCGGATTCCAGTAAGTTCCATGCTAGCTGTTGAGAGCTTGAAACATTCGACATAGCAGCGGCGAGTGCGGCGGAGGCTATGTCATCCGCTGTGGTTGCACCGGACACGGGCGTTCTCTGAGTGGTGTGTGTGTTGGTTGTCGATCTTCGGTTGGGCGACGCAAATCCGAGTTGCTCAGGTGCAGGTGGAGCTGCCCCTGGCTTCGGTACGGTACTAACGGCTGGCTCTTTTCGTACGGTTACGGTGTTCTTACAGTTCGACTTCCGTCCTGGCGCGCAGCTCGTGCACTTACGATTCTCTTTAGCACATTTGCATTTGTAGCAGGTGCCATTGCCGTTGCACCGGCAACATTGGCCCTTGGTTTCCAGATGACGACCCCCTGGTGGTCCCTCCATGCTGTCCGCCATTCCGTCAAAGCATTGTGCGATAGAGTCGCCCGCATGCGCGCAGAGGTACAAAAAACTTCACGACGCAGAGCTCCAAAAACTACGACTCGTACAAAACTCAACGACTCGCGCGCCTTGGCCTGCGCCCTTGGCCGTACGCACTCGGCCTTGATTCAGCCGTAAAGTCCTGCCAGACCGGCCTCTATGATTTTTTTAATTTTTTTAACAGTATTTCGCACAGCAGAAAAGCAACCAATAACTGGCAGGGCAGGGTTGGGCCTTTTTCTTTTTTCACGAGTCTCATTAGGTTCTGTTGCCCGTGCAGTGGCAGATTTCGCGCGGTAAAAAAAAAAAAAAAAAAGCAACCAACAGAAAATCACGGAAGATCCACCGTACATGTCCTGGTTCACATGTACACCGCGTACCGGTGTACCTGAAATGAAGCAATCAATGTAGCCGGCGATTCCTTGTCGCAGTACAAAACACAGCGTGGAAGTAGTATGGCTTCAGTCTTGACGAGCACCCAGTAATTGAAACTGTTGTTTTTCTTGCGCTGGATAATATCATATTGCAAGGTAACCTGTTGTGGATAGTAATACAGTTGGATTTTTTCATTACACTTACATTTCTGCGGCTGCTGGATTTGTTGTCTTTCTTTCGCCATCAGCGGCAATTCTACTGTTGCAGTGGTTATCGTAAACCGAATTTCTCTTCGAACTATTTCAAAGTTTGGCATCATGGCGGGCCTATGGAACCCGGTAAGTAGTCTTCTAACTACACGAATGTCTAGTATGTGACTTATGTCTTTCAAGGCTCTCTAATATGTAGGCGAACATTGTAGAAGAAATACAAACGCTAGGATTATTCACTGGTTTGAGGGGAAAGACGGAAACGGGAAATGCCTGGAGCAAAAATTGATGGTCCCCACCAGGACTTGAACCTGGGACCCTCGCCGGTAGCAGCGATGCACTGACCACTAAGGGGATAGGGTAGCCGTCATCTCAGCACAGGCCGCTCAAAAATTTCTTCAGACTTCGTAACTCCCGCTTCCTGTGAATCGACACAGTCGGGTGGGACGCAGGCCTCACTGTAAAGTGATGTTCACAACTTTCGAGTGTACGCATGAAACCTGCTTTGTGCATATTTTCGCTGGCCTTTGGGGCGCCATGCGTACGGAAACACGCCGAAATGAACTTTCCTACGTGTTGGAATTTTCAGCGTGAATCAGATGTGTAGCAGCGGGGTGAACAAATTAGTGCTCAAAGGCATCGAAACCCGTAAACACGAGTCAAATTGCTGCTTTTTTGTTAAAACCTGCGCACATAAACCGCAAACGTACCTCGTCCATGGGCCAGTTGGGAACACGAGAAACTCCTCAACTTCACAACCTATGTATTTGTTTACCGTCGTCTGAATGGACTTGCTAGTCCTCTTCTGGGAGTTTGCTTTACCTTGAGCGCCCATGGTGCCCACACTGCTGGCATCTGCTGACTTTCGCCCGTCCATCAATTTATACCTAGGGCACCCTGTAAAAAGGCGCTGTCGCCTGTTGGGAATTCCCTAGTCAAAGAAGAATAAATAATAACACGAATAATAAAACACTGCTTTACCCACACACTTCATGTACAAACTAGCAAGCGGGAAGCCCCAGGTCATAACATATTCTCTGGTTTGAGGGAAAGACGTGAGTGAGAAAAGTCTGAAGAAAAAAAAATGACTGTTACCACCTGGACTTGAACCAGGGACATTCGCTTATAGCCAGCAATGACATCCTGACAAAAGTATCAAAAAGTATAATAATTTTGAGATGAGTCTCCTCTCCTCCTGTGAGGGCATAGGCCCAGAAGCAGCCATGGTAATCAAGAGGCTGGCGCACAGTTTGGCCACCAAACACAACGCTGCCTATAGCCAGGTTGTAGCTTGGGTGCAGCTTGGTATCTTCTCTTACCAAGTCTGTCATCCGTTTCGTCCGCGGATCACGCTCTGTTTACCATCGTCACTTCGACCTTGCGCCTATTGACCTCGTCCAGGCGTGTCTGGCTCGACATTAAACTGTATTCACAGCCTTTTTTCTCGTTTCTGCCTGTTGTATAATTACTTTTCGGCGTGTATTTACCGCCAAATTGCCAGGTGCATGTTTACCACCATAATTATGAATAAAATCCTCAGGACCAAAACAATATCAGATGCGTAGACAACACAACGTGTTCTTGATTTCAGAAAGGAAAATTATAGTCTGAAGAGAGATAGTCTGAAGAGAGATAGTCTGAAGAGAGATGGTCTGAAGAGAGATAGTCTGAAGAGAGATAGTCTGAAGAGAGATAGTCTGAACAGAGTTAGTCTGAAGAGAGATAGTCTGAAGAGAGATAGTCTGAAGAGAGATAGTCTGAAGAGAGATAGTCTGAAGAGAGATGGTCTGAAGAGAGATAGTCTGAAGAGAGTTAGTCTGAAGAGAGATAGTCTGAAGAGAGATAGTCTGAACAGAGATAGTCTGAAGAGAGATGGTGAGCCAATGAAATCATGGATACAATAGGAATCTTTCACGAGTTATACCTAACTGTCTACAAAGTAATCAGATGGTACTTCTGAAGTACACACACACAGTCAATATGCGTGACAACATGGCACAAAACTAACAAGGAGTACTGAGACAGTCAATGACCTGGCATCTAGCTCAAACACGGCTACGAGGCGCAAACCAACAACCTTCCGACTTGAAAGGCTCTGGACAGTATGGTCCAAAGAGCGGAAGGAAAGCGCAAGTGAGATGAGTATGAGCTATGTCCCAAGGGAGCAAAATGCCGAATATCACTGGGTGAGGACGAGTCCAGTAGGACAATTGCGAATACAGGCCTTACTGCAACATGACGGCGCAAAGCCACACACCACCAAACTTGGGAGGCTCACGTGTACCGTATTATCCGCAATAAATGTACATTACTTTTTTTATTTTTTCAAAAGTGGTCAGACCTGTACTACTATAGGAGACTTGTACTTTAATTGATTGTGGAAAAATTGATGGCCCGTGTTGGAAGGCAAAAAACGGCAAAAAGAATCCTGAGAATGAAACTGTAAGAATGTACCGTAAAGTCCGCTGCAAACGCCCACTTTGCTGCAAACGCCCACCCCAGCGAGTCCATACTATTTTCGTCTTTTTCAGGTCAATAAAGTTGTAGAAAACTGGCATGAAGGTCAAATGCGTACGGAAATGGCTGTAATGCCTACAAACTGCCTATGTCTCAAGCGGGATTCACAGAAGCTTTTTTTGCGATGAGACACGCGATGCGACAGGCGCGAAACCGGGAAAACCCAAATCGCAGCCATGTCGCACCCCACGCAACTGCCGCAACTGGGCCATCGCAGGCCATCGCAGAAGTTGAGCTTGGCTCAACTTTTGCGATGCGATGCGACAAGCGATTTGGCGTACGATTTTGACCTTTTCTACAGCAAAGTTGTACAAAGGTTCAAGAGTTGCCTATAAATTTGTACAAGTTGTATCAAACCGCGCGAATATCATGGTGACGTAGCCAAATCAGCAAAATGTTGTCGCATTACGGACTTCTTCTGTTAATGGTATTTCGCGAGTTCGCATCTCACGCGTCCGTCGCAGATCGCGTCGCATCGTGTGTCGCATCACAAAAAAGCTTCTGTGAATCACGCTTTACCCCGAGGCTCTCTGCAAAAGCAATTTTCATCATCTTGCAGCAACGAAAAACTTTTGTCAAGATTTCCTTTCATTTTATAAATGAGTCGTCTTTGTGGTAGGTCGCTCTCAATGCAGTAATGCCGTAGAATCCATCTGGTTTTCATGAAAGTTCTGCAGTGCCACAATGTAGCATTTGCAGAACGGAACATTGATTGTTCTGACGAAGCGTCAGTCAACGACTTGACCGCTCGCAGTATTGCAGTTGCAAGTTGAACAGGGTATGTCACAGTATTGCGGTTGCAAGTTGAACAGGGTATGTCACAGTATTGCAGTTGCAAGTTGAACAGGGTATGTCACAGTATTGCAGTTGCAAGTTGAACAGGGTATGTCACAGTATTGCAGTTGCAAGTTGAACAGGGTATGTCACAGTATTGCAGTTGCAAGTTGAACAGGGTATGTCACAGTATTGCAGTTGCAAGTTGAACAGGGTATGTCACAGTATTGCAGTTGCAAGTTGAACAGGGTATGTCACAGTATTGCAGTTGCAAGTTGAACAGGGTATGTCACAGTATTGCAGTTGCAAGTTGAACAGGGTATGTCACAGTATTGCAGTTGCAAGTTGAACAGGGTATGTCACAGTATTGCAGTTGCAAGTTGAACAGGGTATGTCACAGTATTGCAGTTGCAAGTTGAACAGGGTATGTCACAGTATTGCGGTTGCAAGTTGAACAGGGTATGTCACAGTATTGCAGTTGCAAGTTGAACAGGGCATGTCACAGTATTGCAGTTGCAAGTTGAACAGGGTATGTCACAGTATTGCAGTTGCAAGTTGAACAGGGTATGTCACAGTATTGCAGTTGCAAGTTGAACAGGGTATGTCACAGTATTGCAGTTGCAAGTTGAACAGGGTATGTCACAGTATTGCAGTTGCAAGTTGAACAGGGTATGTCACAGTATTGCAGTTGCAAGTTGAACAGGGTATGTCACAGTATTGCAGTTGCAAGTTGAACAGGGTATGTCACAGTATTGCAGTTGCAAGTTGAACAGGGTATGTCACAGTATTGCAGTTGCAAGTTGAACAGGGTATGTCACAGTATTGCAGTTGCAAGTTGAACAGGGTATGTCACAGTATTGCAGTTGCAAGTTGAACAGGGTATGTCACAGTATTGCAGTTGCAAGTTGAACAGGGTATGTCACAGTATTGCAGTTGCAAGTTGAACAGGGTATGTCACAGTATTGCAGTTGCAAGTTGAACAGGGTATGTCACAGTATTGCAGTTGCAAGTTGAACAGGGTATGTCACAGTATTGCAGTTGCAAGTTGAACAGGGTATGTCACAGTATTGCAGTTGCAAGTTGAACAGGGTATGTCACAGTATTGCGGTTGCAAGTTGAACAGGGTATGTCACAGTATTGCAGTTGCAAGTTGAACAGGGCATGTCACAGTATTGCAGTTGCAAGTTGAACAGGGTATGTCACAGTATTGCAGTTGCAAGTTGAACAGGGTATGTCACAGTATTGCAGTTGCAAGTTGAACAGGGTATGTCACAGTATTGCAGTTGCAAGTTGAACAGGGTATGTCACAGTATTGCAGTTGCAAGTTGAACAGGGTATGTCACAGTATTGCAGTTGCAAGTTGAACAGGGTATGTCACAGTATTGCAGTTGCAAGTTGAACAGGGTATGTCACAGTATTGCAGTTGCAAGTTGAACAGGGTATGTCACAGTATTGCAGTTGCAAGTTGAACAGGGTATGTCACAGTATTGCAGTTGCAAGTTGAACAGGGTATGTCACAGTAGCTAGTACAAGCTACACCTACAGTAGATTTGTACGCCCAAGAACGTGGCGCCCAAGAACGTGGCGCCCAAGAACGTGGCGCCCAAGAACGTGGCGCCCAAGAACGTGGCGCCCAAGAACGTGGCACCCAAGAACGTGGCACCCAAGAACGTGGCGCCCAAGAACGTGGCACCCAAGAACGTGGCGCCCAAGAACGCGGCGCCCAAGAACGTGGCACCCAAGAACGTGGCGCCCAAGAACGTGGCACCCAAGAACGTGGCGCCCAAGAACGTGGCGCCCAAGAACGTGGCGCCCAAGAACGTGGCACCCAAGAACGT